AGTTCAAGAGAAGCAAGAGAAGCTATAGAAGCATAGCGCAAGCCCACTTCTTTTCAACACTTCGAAAATCAGATAAAATGCCTACATTTGCTCTGATAGGACTGAGCTGCCTAACTAAAATACCTAATTTCTTTCTGGTAGCTGGAAAAATGTCAACTTAGCGTGGTAAGATTGGTTCTATTATGCTAATCCAGAGCCCTGGTTGAGCCATAAGTAGTAATTCTGGCGCCTGTGGCAAACAGCATGCGACAAACCCTCAAATCAACTTTTTAATTCATGTTGCGGCTCGCAGATGGGTGTTTTTACCAATGTGCACCATCTGGTAGCTTTCTATTTTAACTATTCATTCCTGCTAACTAGATACGGAATTCTTTAAATTATTATTTTAGATTTATGTGACCTCTAAACATTCCTGACCTAGGACAAAAAGTCCTCATCATCCTGCCCTCATTTTGTTCCTGATTTTGATTTAAAATGAGAAACGTATTATTACTTAAAGCAATTTGTTTCATAAACCAACATTTTTTCAAACATGAGGTCCATGAAATAAAAATTAGCAAAAAAGAGCCCTTGCTGGTTAAAGACTCTGTACTCCACTCCCAGGTGGTCAGTATCTCGAGTTCCAAAAGTTTGTCTGTTCTCCATCGTGCCTACAGTGCTCAGTGCTTGGCGCATAGTGGGCACTTGATAAGAATTTAATTGGAAGCATGCCAATGGACCAGGAACAATACAGCAATCCAATTTGGTTGCTAATATATTTCCAAAAGGCTAGGCCCATGTCCAAAGGCTAGGACAAACTCCAGGATATTGTGTGGACAGAGCCTTGAGCTAATTGGATGTCCTCTTCATATGTTCCAAAGATCTGATTTGCAAATTAAAACTTCCACAGACACACCCTCGGGTATTAGCACCCCATGTGAATGGTCCTTGTGGTTCCTATCATATCTTCTGAGGTTATTGTGTTATGTTCCTTGCTTACGTCTATTTTTTAATGTTTGCTGTTATGTCTAAATGTGTAGATTTTTTCCTTTTTTTTAAGAAGGGCCATCTGAGGAAGGCCAGAACAGCCAACAGTGGCCCAAGTAACGGTCCAGGAAGCCTGGGCAGGCTTGGTAATGCTGTGATTCATTTTCTCTCTGCTTTTGGCTATGAAGCCCCAAATACTAATGTCTCAAGGCAGAATTTCCTTCCTCTCCTTTTTGCCCCCAACAGTTCAATTCATAAGGCTTCCAGGAGGCACTCTCCACTATCTCCTATTTCTAGTCTTGTAACATTTATATTTCATATACACTTATGTTCCTTTTTTACTAAACAGTATGAACTACATTGTTGGTTTGGAAAAAATAGGAAAAGATGTTTATATAAAGCCATTCAGAATGTATAATGGAACGAAACATGTTTTGACCTTAGAAAATTAGAAATTACATGGATAGGGAAGAAAAAATTCACAAAGTCAGGCATCAGAATTAGATCTGGAATTATTATGATTTCTTTGTGACTAAAGTATAAAATGGTAAAAAAAAAATGCATAATGGAAAAGTTAGTAGGTTAGGCTTCAATTTTAAACTACTGTACTTAAAAAGAATACCATATTTAAAGGGCTAATGTTTTTCAACAACTGTCTACAACGATAAATATTTGTAATATTATAGACAGAGGGATAAAATTTTAATATAGAATGCATTCTTACAAACCAATAAGAAAAAGAATATCCCAATTGCAAATGGCCAAAAATAAATTGCAAAAGAAGAAATACAAATGGCTAATAAATATATGGGAAAAAATATACAACGTTTTTGGCCATGAAACCAATTCATATCTAAAACAATGAAGTCCAATATTTGTTTAGAAACTAGCAAAGATTTTCTGGAAAAATAATACCTAACCTGAGTGAGGGGTCAGGCCAATGACCACTCTAAGGCTCTGATGAAAGTACAATTTTGGTCTGCCTAGCTGGAGGGCAGTTTGTGAAAAGCTTTTCAAAAGTGCTTCTCTCTAGACAGCCCAGTCTCACTTTATTCAGCAAATATTTTTGAGCACCTACAATGTGTCCCATAGTTTCCAGTTCATAGAAACTAAACTTCAAGTTCTAGGGACTAAATCTATCCTAAAGAAATAATCAGATAACTGCATACTCATTTACAATGGTATTATTGAGTAATTATTTGTAATAGTGAAATATTGAACGTAAGTTAAATGTCCAATAGTAGGAATTTGGTTGAGTAAACTATGGTACTGTATGGTGCCGTAAAATGTTCTACAACCGTTAAATGACAGAGTAAAAATGCTCACAATATTTTGTGATGTAAAAAGGGCTGGTAATAGATTAATATGTACAGACTAATCCCAATGTTGTTTAAATATGTAAATAAGTAGAAAAAATTCTAGAAGTTTGTATACCACCCTCCAAAAAAAAAGTATCATTTGATGTGTTTTTTGTTGCTGTTGTGTTTTCTTTTTTGTGCTTGAGGAAGATTTGCCCTGAGCTAACGTCTGTGCCAATCTTCCTCTATTTTGTATGTCACCGCCACAGTATGGCTGCTGACAAGTGGCATAGATCCATGCCCGGGAACCAAACCCAGGCCACTGAAGTGGAGCACACCAAACTTAAGCACTAGGCCACAGGGCTGGCCCCTTGATGGGTTTTTTAGATATTCTTTATCTTTTTCTATCCGCGATGGACATTGATTATCATTACAAGCATAAAAATATTTTTTAATTACTAAAAGTGGTTTCTTAAAGCCCAGAAATAAAACCACACCTATACGGACAGCTAATTTTCGACAGAGGAGCTAAGAACATACAATGGAGAAAGGAAAGTCTCTTCAATAAATGGTGTTTGGAAAACTGGACAGCCACATGCAAAAGAATGATAGTGGACCATCTGCTATCGCCGTTCACAAAAATTAACTCAAAATGGATCAAAGACCTGAAGGTGAGACCTGAAACTATAAAACTCATAGAAGAAAATCTAGGCAACACACTATTTGACATTGGTTATAAAGGAATCTTTTCGGATGACATGCCTACCCAGACTAGGGAAACTAAAGAAAAAAAAAACAGATGGGACTTTATCAGATTGAAGAGCTTCTACAAGACAAACAAAACCAGAATCAAGATGAACAGACAACCCACCAGCTGGGAGAGAATATTTGCAAAACATAAATCTGACAAGGGGTTGATCTCCATGATATATAAAGAACTCACACAACTAAACAACAAAAAAACAAACAACCCGATCAAAAAATGGGCAGAGGAAATGAACGGACACTTCTCCAAAGAAGATATACAGATGGCCAATAGGCACATGAAAAGATGTTCAACATCACTAATCATCAGGGAAATGCAAATCTAAACAACACTAAGATATCACCTCACGCCTGTTGGAATGGCTATAATCACCAAGACAAAAAACAACAAATGTTGGAGAGGATGTGGAGAAACAGGAACCCTCATACACAGCTGGTGGGGATGCAAACTGGTGCAGCCTCTATGGAAAATGGTATGGAGATTCCTCAAAGAATTAAAAATAGAGATGCCCTATGATCCAGCTATCCCACTACTGGAAATCTATCCAACCAACCTGAAATCAACAATCCAAAGAGGCTTATGCACCCCTACGTTCATTGCGGCATTATTCACTATAGCCAAGAAGTGGAAGCAACCTAAGTGTCCCTCGACTGACGATTGGATCAAGAAAATGTGGTATATATATACAATGGAATACTACTCAGCCATTAAAAAAAACAAAATCGTCCCATTTGCAACAACATGGATGGGCCTGGAGGGTATTATGTTAAGTGAAGTAAGCCAGAAAGAGAAAGACAAACACTGTATGATCTCACTCATATGTGGAATATAAACCAACACATGGACAGAGAAAACTGTGTTCTGGTTACCAGGGGCAATGGGGGTGGGGGGTGGGCACAAGGGGTGAAGGGAGACATATGTATGGTGATGGACAAACAAAAATTTACAACCCAAAATTTCACAATGTTAAAAACTGTTAAAACTCAATAAAAAAATAAATAAATGAATGAATGAATAAATTAAATAAATAAATAAATCAATAAAGTGGTTTCTTAAGAACAACATGTGTGGTTTTGCACAACATCGTAATTGGTCAGTGTAGCTCACTAAGAGAGGAATAAAAAGGTCTTTGCTATTTAAGATGTTTAGTGTTGAATTTAATGAACACAAATACCAAGGCTTTAAATTTAATGAAAGCAAAGCTGTTTCTCATCCTCAAGCCAAGAACCATTTTACAGGCCATTGTGTGGTGGCACAGCCTCAAACCGTGCCCTTGTAACAGGGTAAAGTCACCTTGTCACCGATTTTACTTCTTCTGAGCGCACACTGTCATTTCCCACTCATGGTAAAGACCCACAGCTGTCACTATAAGGACTCCCAAGAGCAATAAACCCAGACCTGATGGGTGGAATCTTTCATGATGAGTGGAATCTTCCATCACCACGTCTCGGTTTATGAGGTTGCCTTTTCCTCTAACATTTTTCTTGGAAGAAAGAAAAATCTATCCCAAAAGAGACACATATACACAAATAACTCAAAGGGTGGGTGGAGAGAAACACCACAAAAGCACCTCTTTACCAGCCTATTACTCCCAATCTATCCAAAATCTTATTGTAAAGGAGGTAAACTAGAAGGCTTGGAGTATTATTTATCTACTTTGATGTCTAAGACTCCCACTATGCCCTTTCTGGTTGTTTTCTTGGTTCCCTTGTTATAGACGAGCACTGGGCTGGCAGGAAGGGGGTGTGACTGAGGATGGCCATATATTTCTATTTCCAGGTTTATTGTGCATTTGCTCATTTCTGTTTCACTTAGTTCCTTTTCTGGGGTTTTGTCCTGTTCCCTTACTTGGAACGTATTCCTTTGCCTCCTCATTTTGCCTCTTTCCCTGTGTTTGTGTCTGTGTATTAGGTAGGTCAGCTATGTGTGTGCCATGACCCTCTAATGATGTGTGGTTGTTCTTTCTCCAGAATGTCGAGTGGTGAAGTCTACTTCCTACACCAAAATAGCTTCATCATCCCGCAGGAGCACCACCAAGAGCCCAGGACCTTCCAGGCGCAGCAAATCCCCTGCATCAACCAGCTCAGGTAAAGCAGCAAAGGAGGCTGAAGAAGCTGCCTTGTTCTGACGCATGATGAGCAGACGGTGTGTGAAGCCTGGAGCGTGAGGTTTCAAGATAGTGTAGATTCCGGTTTATAATTTTAGAACATGTTAGAGTGGTGGAACAGATTTGCCAGAGTCTGGCGTGTTGGCTGTAAGAAAAAACATTGAGCTCGGGAAAACTAACTTAGTGAAGATTCAAGAAATCCAGATTTTCCCACAAATATATACTACCGACTTATATCATTCTACCACACAATTTAATTTTTCAGGCTAAGGCCCCTCAACTCCAGAAGTCTCTGTTAAAGTATTTATTCTACATGGGACTGACTTGTGAAGAGTATCCAGTGTATTTGCTGAACCTTAGTTTAACACGCCTTCTACTCTGGCCCCAGCGTGGGCACAGAGCTGAAAGCAGTGAGAATGAGAGCCTGGGGCAGGGAGAGCTGCAGTGACTCTGGGCCTGTGTGCTGTTTCTCAGGGGCTCTAGTGCTGGTGTGGGAGCAGGATGTGTGCTCGCAAGACCACCATCTCAGCCCTGCCTTTTCCTTCCTTGGTCTTAAAAGTGACATAAATCAGTTAGAAGGTGTTTTGGGGTTTTTTTTTTCCCGTCTCAGGTGTAAGGTCTATTTCACTATTGAAGGGAATTATTTATTAAATGATATAAACTGTTGAATGGGAATTACTAAATGATACACACATCAAAGTGATTGTCACCTGATTTCCTGAAGACAGAGAAGCTCTTATAAGTAGGGACAGAAATCTTTAGGGCCTACACACAGGCCTTCTTTACTCAACAGTGTGAGCCCAGAGGGATGTGAACCGATTTCTAGACTGGGCTACAAGTCCTGCCTTCACCACCACTGGCTAGCTCTTATACCACTGTATCAATTATAACTTCCATATTTAAAAATGGAACTGCTACAATCTGTTTTTCCTAATAAAAAGTAAAACTGATACCTCCAAAGTGAGTCTTGGGAGATGGAACTCTTAGGCTGGATAGCTGGAGCCCCAGCCCAACTTGGTTCTGTAAGAGGCACCTTCCCCTTGGGCTTTATTGATTCCTGATCTTCCCTAGACAGATCTCCAAAGACCTTCTTCTTCTTTGACACTCACTCTGAGGGTGGTGACATAGGCTGCCACGGCCCCCTTCCCACCGCGTGGCCTATGTCATAACCAGTGAGGGAGTAAGTCTCAGAGCACGGCTGGCACTTGAGGTGCAGCTTGTTTGCCCTGCCTAGTTTAGGGGTGAACTGAGCACTCCTCCCTTAATATGACATAGCCAACCCCTATTGGGTAGAACACTAGAATAAAACTTTGCTAAAGGGAAAGGTATTGAGACTCAAAATTTAAAGTGCATGAGAGTCATTTGGGAACTTGGTAAAGTTCATCATCCTGACTGCCTCCCCCCACCCTGATTCTGACTAAGGCCATAAACCTGTGTTTTAGCAAGTATTCCAGGCAATTCTGACCTGATAGTCTATGGCCCACATTTAGAGAAATAGGGGGTGAAGGAAGTGGTTCCCAAAGTGTGGTCCCTGGACCAGCAGTGTCACCATCACCTGGCCATGTTAGAAATGCAAAGTCTTGAGCCCCTCCCCAGACCCACTGAATCAGAAACTCTGGAGCTAGGGCCCTGCAGTCTGGGTTTTCACAAGCCCTCCAGGTAATTCTGATGCTCACATAAGTTTGAGAGCCACTAAATTACAGATAACAGAAGAGGAATAAATATGGGAAGTCCCATTTGAGTCTGGATAATCCGGGATGAAAGATCTGACTTGCTCATCTCCATTTATTGGCATGACAGAGACGACTCCCTTTCTACCTCCCTGCTTGCCTCCAAGTGACAATGTCCATCTTTAACCCTTGCAACCCAAAGCAGACCTCTAGATGCCTTGAAGTGTAGGCCAAGAGAGCAGGGAGCAAAGGAGAGTGCCAGACACTGGCTACTTTTACTACTTCCTTACAATGGCCTGTCTTCAGAGAACCAGACACCTGGGAGAAGAGAGAATTTCTGTCTGAAGATCATCCCTTCCCTGGAAACTGATGTTGGGGAAAGTCTCTCCCTTCAAGAGCGACACCACCTACACACAGAGATGGGGACCTCCACAAAGTGACAGAGTGATGCTGGAATTGCTGCTTGTCAAACCCCCCTGGGAGACCTTAGCTTGTTCATTAGCCAGCTGACAGGTTAAAACTGAGCCCTTTGGAGGATGTTCAGCCTTGACCAAAGAATATTTCTCATTTACTCTGAGCAAACCTGGGCTGTAGGATGAATTCGCATGGGGCAGAAAGGGAGAAAGAGGTCCTGGGCCTAGCCAGCCTGTTGCCCCTAAAATCTTGGCTATTTAGTACAATCATGGAAAGATATGAAGAAGAAGAAGGTCCACATTAACTGAAACTACTAAAAAAATCGATGTTAAAAAACAAAATTAGTCCCCAATCCAAACCAACTTTGACATTGACAAATTTTACTTAATCTTTCCTCTCTTCTTCCTCTTAGTATATGCCATGAATTTTAAAATATCAGGTGTAGTGGGGGGAAATATCTAATAATGGGTGATTAGCCAAATTCTTATGTCTTTTACAGAATGGATATTTCAAGAGACTCAGTATGCACTATCGCTATTAACTTTTTGTTGTTGTTGTTTTTACAAGGTTTTGTTTTTAAGAGCTATAGGCAGTTAGATGCTTCTGAGTTTGGGAATTTCTTTTCTTTTTGTCCCCATAAGTCAAGGGAGGTAGGGGATAGATCAGATTATTGTGCACATGTCAAAGAATGGAATCTTGAGGCCTGGAGCAGTGACTGTCTTCTGCTAAGCTTTCCACTACAGATGCAACAAAAGTGTCCCCACACTTTCTATCTGTCTGATGTGGCAGCCAAGATTGCACGGGTGAATACAGGAGGAAAACATAGAGAATTTTTGCAACTCAGAAATAACCTTGTATATAGTGAGGAGCCTGTTTTACTCCAAAAAAGAATCTAAAATTTGAGTCACACACAAAAAAAGAATCATGAATCTAATCTTAAAAAGATAATTAGGGGGGCTGGCCCAGTGGCGTAGCAGTTACGTTCGCGTGTTCTGCTTCGGCGGCCCGGGTGTGGACCTACTCACCACTCATCGAGCCATGCTGAGGCAGCATCACACACAGAGGAACCAGAAGGACCTACAACTAAGATATACAACTATGTACTGGGGCTTTGGGGAGAAAAAAGAAAAAGAGGAAGATTGACAACAGATATTAGCTGAAGGCCAATCTTCCTCAAAAAAAAAATAATAATTATGAATAAAGGAAATTATTTCGCTTTAGAATTAACTAGTAACATAGTCACTATTCAGCATCTCTAAGATTATATAACTCTTATAATATATTTAATTATAATCTTATAAATATAGATGAATAGATCATTTACCAAAAGTAATTTCGGAAACTCAAAAAAGCAGACGGGCAAATGTATTAAATGTGTTTATATTTGTCATTGCCAACATTTGGAACTATTCCTTGTAGAAGTTTAAAATGGATAGGACACATACCTCAAAATCAATAGATTGCTTCAAACAAGTGTTTCTATTTTCTGTTGTTTCCCTGAAGCCCTTTTCAACTCTAGTTGAAACCTGGTTGATTTAACCAGCACTAACTTGGAATTCATGATAGGTAAGCCATGCCAAGTAGTATCATTTCTGTAAAGAAAGTGGAATCTGAATCCATTCTAAAATCAGTATGTTCTTGAAAAATTAACATTTCATTCAAGGTGTCTTTAACTTCTAGATCAAAATTAATTAAATGGTACTGATCATGTATTGTTTAATGTGACTCTTTTATGCATATACAATTTTCAACTTCCTGCATTTTGATCTAGAAGATATGCCATACAACCATTTCTTGGTTATATGCAACTTATAATATGCAATGACTGTCCCTTTGTTCTGACTTGCTACCAAATCTTACCACCTTCCTCTGGATGATTCTAATTTAGAGAGCATTTACAGAGCAGCAATACCCAGTTGCAAATGTGTGGATTATGCCAGTGACCCCAAGACCACTCTCTTTCCCTGGGACCTGAGCCCAGGGTTTAGGAAGTCCAGTGGTATTTCCATTTCTTTTCAGGCAAGTGTGGCTGTTGGATGTCAAGGAGCCCTTGCCTCGGGCCCCTCCACTACACTAGCCCAGACTCCTGTCTCTACCCAAGTATGGCTCTTGAAACCAGTGGAAAGGAGCAGTGGATTATCTCTATATTGGTGTATCACCATTTTCTTAAAATAACCTGCTTAGTGTTTTTCATAAATCATAAAGATTGGAATGTGAATAATTTTACTTTCGTACCTCTTAAGCATTGATGTTGCCCCAAACCCAGTCACCACCATGAACCTGACTTTTTAACATTAAAGGATCTTTGTTTTTCCCCCTAAAATATTAACTTAAAGGTTGAAATGATTTTACTTTAGTTTTTTAATTTCTACTTCCAGTATTCCTACATTAATAGGAATTATACAGAGATTGGAGCACAGGGTAAAGTTAATATTTGCTCAGTTTTCGTGCCCTGCTGATGTTTAGAATAATATTATTAACTTATATTTAAATGAAACGTCAGAGTTTACATAGGACTCTTATCTCTTTGATCTTTTTTGATCTTCCCAACAATCTCCCAACAACAAGCAAGACAAGATATAAATAATACAGTCTGTTTTCAGAAATGAGGAAGTAGAGACGGGGCTGAGAGCACTGCTTTGCCCAGTGTCACAGAGTTACTAGTGACAGCTCAGGGCTGGCACTTGGGGCTTCCAGTGCTCCAGACACAACAGGCTGGCAATCCTTGATATCTATTTCTTCACCTCTGCTTATTAAAGTTTTGATCTCCAGGAAATAACTAAGGCAGTACCTGGTTTAAGATTGCAATTTACAACATCATAACACTTTGCAACAGAAGCCTAAGTATTAGCCCAGTATTAGTCCAGCATCCCAGGAGGTGAAATGATTCACCCCA